CATTAACTGACCACCTCCCCACCCCCATCGAGGGAGCCCCCTTCTCTAATCCCCCCCCCTGGCCAGATAAAGCCCCCTGGGGGAGGAGAGGAAAGTCTCCAGGCCCCTTCCCCACAGCTCTCCGATTTCCCCAGCCGGGCGAATTTTCCCATCTTAATGTGATTATGGCAGACCCTTCCAATTAGGAGGCTGCAGCGCTGAAAGAGGGAAGGAATGTGGGCCCCCTTCCCTGCCCTGGAGGGCCGCCCTGACCTCCTGGCCCTCCTCAGAGGGACCCTGTCAGCACCGGGTTCAGACTCGGCCCGTTTGGAGGTCTTCATCGCTGCCTGAATGGGGGTCCGGGGGTTGCCCGTTGTGGGGAGAGCAAACTAAGGCAGGGGGGAGCTTCCTCTGGTCCTAGAAAGGTCCCCGCATCGTTCCCCCCCTCTTCTGAGAGATTCCAGAAAGGGCAAGTCCAAGGCAATGAAGCACCCAGCTCGGGGGCAGTCTACCAGGGGCAGAAGCTACAAGTCCCAAGAAATGAGCCGTGCTTAGCCAGGTGACTTAAGCCGCCCTTGGCTTAAGCAAGGTTTCCTGACGAAACAATCCTGGCTAGCTTCCCCCAAGGCTGAACATCAATCTCTGAGTCTCCATCTCTCAGCCAGGGGGAGGCCGGGCTGCCCTCTGGAGGAAAGAGCGGGTGTGTGGGGGGGGGGATTGAGGGGGTGGGGACTTCCTGGCTCTGATTGACAGAGACAAAACACGTTTTAATGACTGGCCATCTACATAACCCGGAGGGGGGGGAAACTCCTGGTCTAATTGTTTCCAAATTTGAGGTCAGAAGTAAAGTCCGTGTAGAGCACCATTCCCCCCCCCCCAGACATTCCTGCCTTATTGTCTGAGGAGGGCTGACATTTATGACAGGGTGGGGAGTGTTCGGTTACACAAAGAGCCCGGCTCCCATCTGCAGTTCGTTCCTTGCCTCTTTCTGGAGGGAAGGAGAACAGCTGTCCCCCAACCTGGCCCTGCCAGATGTGTTCATCAACCTCTCCCATCAGAGAGGCTGAACCGGTTGTTCGCTCTTTGCGTGCCCAGTAACCAGTGGCCCTGCAGAGGGCCCAGGGGCCCAAGGTAGCTGCTGCCTTGTGCCCTTCCCTTCATCCTGGCTGTGCCGCCCAACAGTCCTGGTTTGGCTCACTTCAGCTCCGCCGTTGGCAGTGGGAAGGCCCCACTGGAGTTGGGGCAGAGCGGAAAACCCGAGGCCCTTCAACAGCTGGACAGAGGAAGGGGCCGACCCAGAATTTGCCAAGGTTGCCAGCCGGGAGAAAGACCCTAAGTTCGGGGTTGACATCTCCCACCCCCCACCCCCCAATTGTCCTGGGCTCCGTTCTTGGAGAGGGGAGGTTAAAGAAACAGTCGGGCAGGATAAATAATAATAAAAAAAAAAACCCAGAAGGTTGGGAAGAGAGAAGTGGGAGGGGGGGGGGACGGAGGGCAAAGGGGGAAAAGAGAAAGAAAACGAAGTGTGAGATTTCCAGCTGGTATTAATTTTTAGCCCCACGTCTCTCCAGCTTATCCCCCTAAAGCCTCAACCTCTCTGGGTAATTACAGGCTCTCCGCAGCCCAGCCGGGGAGCTGAGCGGCAGTTGCTGGGTGGTCTTCCCCCCCTCCTCCGAGGTGAGGGCAGGTTCCCGCAGGGCTGGGCAGGCGGGACCCACTCAAAGCCACTGGGTCACACTTTGGACCTGAAGGGCCTCCGTACGGTCAACGGTCCAGGCAAAGAGTCCACCCCAGTTGTGGCAAAAGCAGCCACTTCTTTGGGGAGGTTTGGAGAGGCTGGCGCAGCCGCCTTCACACATGCCACGGCTCTTTCGAGGGGAGGGCGCAGCTGGGTCAGACCCCAAACCTGTCTGGGAGCCCCCAAAGAAGTACTTCCAAGCTGTCCTGCAGGGGAGGGCAGTGCAGTTTACACTCCCCCCCCCTGGCCTGGAGACCAGGGGCTCCCTGCAAGGTCACTGGCCAAAGGTAAGGCCTGAAGGCGCCCCACACAGGGCCTGCAACGGCCCAGCCCCCCTGCCCCACATCCGTGGGGCTCCTCTTTGCAACCGTCCTGGCTGCAAATGGCCAAGCCCAGGGGAGCTGGGCTGAGCCCCAAAGGCCAGGCCTGGACGGGTGAGGCTTCCACTGCTGGGCTTTTTGGAGGGGGGGGGGACAGGACTGGCGGGGGCCTCCAATGGGCTCCTGGACCTGGCTGATAAAAGCCTGGGCTGGCCCAGCCCGGGAAGGAACACGCTGGGCTGAGCAAACCGGTGGCAGTGCCCGCCAGCCAGGTTGGGGCTTTGGGGACAATTCCCGGGAAATACCCGGGCTGGAGGGGTGGGTGGCCCTCCCAGGCTCCGGAGAAGCAGAGCCCTGCCGCCCAGAGGCGGTCTGGATGAGGCCCAATCCAGAAGAGAAGAGCAGGGCCGGGGGATGGTGGTGCCAGGATTTCCAAGGCCGAGCCAGATGGGGTTGATCCGAGGGGGATGAAGCTTCGTGGGAAAGGAGGCGATGTGGGCTCTCCTGGGGTCTTTGCTCCCCCTTCTTGCAACACCCCCCCCCATGAGAGATGCGCATGGGGATGGCTGGGGCACCTTTGCTCGATTGCAAATCAAAGGAGCCCCCCTCCCCAATACCCCAGGACAGCCTGAGGGACTGAATGGGTGTGTGTGTGTGTGTGTGTGAGTGCAGGGGAGGGTGGGGGAGAAGGGGGCTTCCGGCCTTTGTCTGCTCCTCCAGCAAGTCCTAACTTGGGCTCTCCAGACTCTTACTCATTTACTCAACGACTTCCTGAATTCCTGGGAAGAAAGTTACTCCTTTCACTTTTCTCGGAGGCAGGGGGGGGGGCTCGCTTGGGGGGTGCAACTGGCAGGAACGGAGGGGCTGCTGCCCTGCAGAGGGGAGGGGTGTTCCCGGGCCAGTCCCATCATCCCCTATGAGCCCTGAAAGGGAAAGGGGAGCTCTTGGGCCACTCATCCCCCGCAGCATCTCCTGACCCTGGTTGTTTGCCAGCCGTGATCCCGCCTGACCCCAGCCTGCCCCTTTTCCATCGCGAGCCAGGAGAAAGGGCCCTTTTCAAGACCCCTTCATCTCCGGCAGCCCCTGACCCCAGCCAAGCCATGTGGGGTTCGGCTCTCAGAGGGGGCTGGCTGGGCTGTCTTTCCCCCCCCTCCAGGGGCCGAGATGCCCCAAGTTCTCCTCCTCCTTCTTATAAAGTTGCCTTGGAGAAAAAAAAGACCAGCAGGGCTTGGGAATAGCCAGGCAGAAAACTCCCCACACACCCCCAAATTTTTTTTTTGTGGGAACAAGGAAAGAGACGTGCCAATTAACACCTCCGAGCGCCGTTCATTAATCTTTGGACCGCAGACAGAGAGCGGAGTGAAAGTTAAAGAAAGGGGCTGCGCTCCTGTTATCACAGTGTTATAAACTGCTGTTATAAACATTGGCGCCCTCCTCCTTGGGGGGGGGATCTATTGGGGGGGGCTCCATCTAAGCACATCCCTAACTGCTGACATGAGGACTTTTGTGGGAGGGAGGGAGGGGGGGAGAAAAAGGGAGAGGACAGCAAAAGGGGATGGCCACCCACAGAGCCCTCTGGATCGGCCCCAGGCGAGCAATCCATCACACCAGCAGTGTTTCACCCTTCAAAGCTTTGTCTACACAGCAAGCCCCCCTCCCCATATCGCTGGCCTCCCCTTCCCCACTGGGCAGCCTCAAAGAAAGCCAGGTTTCCTTCCCCCTCCTCACTCCTGTAGACCCAAGGGGGGGCTCCTGCGGAGAGCTGTGCTTTCACGTCACCCCCCCCCCCTTGGTGGCGGTGAGCAGGTGCTGGAGGGGATCCCGGGAACAGAGAGCACGCGGTCTCTACTCTGCGGAGTGGGGAAACACTCCGCAGAGTAGAGCAAGAGAAGGGATCCCCTTTAATAAGGGGGGGGGGTAAAAGACGAAAGTAATGGGTTTTCTCCCACAACGAGTGTAGGTCGGTTTGGGTCTCTGTCCAGAGAAACTTGGGGACCTACTCAGTCCCCTCCGTCGGGGAGAAGGGTCGGGGAAAGGTGACCCCGACAAAGGTTTCTCCTTATCGTCGTTGAAGGTAGTTCAACTTATACTGGTAGTCCTTGCTGGGCCCCTCCCAGCCTAAGGGGTCCCCAAGACGGAGAGGACCGGGGTGGGTGGGTGGGTTCCATCAAGGCCCCACCTGAGGGATACAGGTAGGTGAAGCTTTTTGTTTGGGGGGTAGGCATTTTTTAATTGGATAAAAACCCTGTTACATCCCGCACGCCAGGCGCGTGACTTATGCTCCTCCTTCTACTTCTGCATCCCCCTCCCCAAGCTCCCACCACCACCCCCGACAATCCAAGCCATAAAAACCAGACCCCCCCCTCCCGTCTGGATACACACCATGTGCCAAGATCAGAAGGGGGGCTGTGAGGATAAAAAGTCCCCAGCGCATCTTCGGAGGCAAAGTCCAGCCACTGGAGACGGAGACCAAAAGGGCATGGGAGGGGGGCAGCTGCTGCCACTGAAGGGAGAAATCCCAAGGGGTCCCCCCCAACCTTCAGAACAGGGGAGCCACTCCTGGCTTCACTTTCCAGAGGCCTTCCCATAAAAGAGGCCGGCTCAGCCCGATGGAGGCCCCAACACCAAGGAGGATGGCAGTGGGCGGGTTGCACCCAACGACCCCACTGCTGAGGAAACCTTCTGCGGTTCTGGCCCCACCCCTGCTCCCTCCTCCCATCTCTGGGGGGGGCACCAGCACCCCTAGAGCACTGGGAGGCAGGCCTTCCTCCCCACCTGTTTTGAGGGCAACAACACACACCAACGTGGGCCTCAGCTGGAAACAATGTAATGGACTCGTCCTTCTCACCCCCCACCCCACCCCCCAGGTCAGCTGCACCTTCTTCCCCTCCACTGCCCCCCCAAAAGCTTCTGTAGCTCTCGCTCCGTCAAGTCCAGGCCAGCTGGTTCTTGGCCAAGGGCCGTCACGTGGTGCCCGGCGGTCCGTCCTGGGGGAGGGAGGTGGCCAAATGCCTCTCCCACTCCACCTCAATCACCTTGTACAGCTCCATGGTGGCCCGGGCATCTTCCACCGAGGAGTGTCCATTGTGACCAACCTGGAGGGAGGGAAGGAAGGAAGGAAGGCAGGCAGGCTCAGGGTATCACTCAAAGTCCTGCCCTGGACTTCTTCCCTGGCCACAGGGGCGCCCATTCTCTCTCCCTCCCTCCGGGACGAAACCCTAATGCCTCCCCTGGGCTTAGGAGACCCACCATCCCGAAAGAGCAGCTGGGCTCAGCACCTGGGCAGGTGTGCCCGGCACCCGTTACCTGAATGTCTCGGTGCAGCAGCTGCTTGGTGAGTCGCTTCAGGGAGGCCGACTCGTTCTCGGGGAAGCCGGCCTTCCGATTGAGCAGGGGGATTTTTGAGGTGTCCCTGGTCATGGATTTGGGGTGGAAATATTTGAGGGCTTTGAAGTCGTTGTGGATTGCGTGGCCAATGACAATCTTCCCCGAGAGAAGCTTGAGAATCTGAAAAGGAAGCAGAGCAGGAAGCGGGTTCAGCCGCCGAGGGCCCCTGTGGCCCCCCCCAGCCAAGACGGGAGGAGAGGACGCTGATGCCCAGGGTGCCGTAACCCGGAAGACTCCCCTCCCTACGTGGGGAGGAGAGACCGAGAGGAGGGCGAGGAGGCTGCGCGCTGCCCTCACCTCTCTCTGGGCCAGCTTGAAGGGCACAGCGTCTCTCATGTGGTGCTGCCTGATGCCGCTCCACCGAGTCCGGTAGTTGGTGATGGGGCTCAGGGGACGGATGTAGCCGTCGTACATCACGTCGCCATAGTAGCTGACCACGCTGCATCGCGCCAGGTCACTGTTGCGCCCGCCGGGCCCGGTGCCCACCATCTCGCAGTCAATGGCCACCATTTTGCCCGGCTTGGCTACCACCGGCACGTCGGGGAGGCCGGCCTTGCTTTCGTCCAGCGGGCCGACTCGGGGGACGTCCCCCCGGCTGCAGAGGGTCCCGTTGGGCTTCCCAGCGGGGGCCCCCGTCCTCTTCGAGGCCGAGGCAGCCGCGGAGGAGGGGCCGTCCGCCCGGGATCCGGGGCACAGCGTACCCGCAGCGGCGCTCTCCTTGGGCCGGCCGGGCGGACCCTCCTCAAGCGGGGCTCGGCTGCCCCCCCTCCCCGCTGCCCCCTTGGCAGGCTTCTTCTTGGCCCGGGCGGGCCCCGCGCAGCCGCCCCCCGAGGCGGGGCCCCGTCTGGGCAGGGCGGGGGGCTGGGCGGGCAGCTGCTTCTGCCTCAGGAAGCCGCGCCGCTCCAGGAACTGGCGGCGCTTGACGAAGCGCTGGTGCCGGTGGCCGCCCGCGGAGCTCCTCGGGGCCGGCGGCGGGAGGGCCGTCTCCAGGTTGAGCATCAGGTCCGACATGGCGCCCGGCGGAGCGTCCCGGCGGCCCAGCGCAGAGCAGCGGGCGTCGATCTAGCGGGCTCCGACGGCGGCGGCGGTAGGAAGCGGCAGGTGCGTCGCCATCTCTCCCTGGAAGGGANCCCCCCCCCCCGCCGAGAGGACCCGGGCGCCACGCCCACCTCGCTCTGCCGCGACGGCACCGCGCCGCCAACCCGGATGCGGAAGCGCCGCCCGGCAGCGGAAGTTCAGGCCACACCGGAAGTCCTTCCGTTCGGTCTTCCCCGAAAGCGGGAAAGGCGGCGCCGCAGCCTCGCCCGGCCCGGAGGAGGAGCCCGGGGGGGGGGAAAGAAGGAGGGAGGGAGGGAGGGAGGGAGAGAGGGAGGAGCCGCGTGGGGGGCGGGGCGGCGGCCTCCTCCGTCCGAACCCGGAAGCGGACGGGCGACGGGGCCCGGTCGGGGCCAAAATTGTGCGCCATGCGCGGCTTCTCCCCGGAGCAGCAGAAGCGCCTGGCCGCCAGCCTGGTGCGCGTCCTCGACCTCTACCGGCCGCTAACGGACGCCTACGTCATCGTAAGCCCCGCCCCCTAGACCCCGCCCCCCTCCGGGCCGCACCGGTGGGCTCCGCTGAGCGCCCCTCCCGCTTCCTCCCCCCGCAGGAGTTCTTCGCGGAGGACCTGTGGGGCCGCCTCCCCCGAAGCTGGCAGGCGGCGCTGGGCCGGCTCTCCCCGCCGGAGGTGGCGGCGCTGCTGCTGCGGAGGGGCGAGCCCGCCCGCCGTCGCCCGGTGTGGCCGCTCTCGCTGCTGGCCTTCCGCGCCACCGCGCACGCCCTGGCTTTCCCCCGCCGACCAGCCGCCGCCGCCGCCGCCCGGGAGCCCCCGCTGCCGCCCCGCTTCCGCAAGCACCTGCGGCCCAAGAAGCAGCACGAGGTCCGGCGGCTGGCGCAGGTGCGGGGCGTGGGGGGCGGGGGCGGGGGTCCCGAGCGAGCGACCCCCGGCCCTGACCGCCCTCTCCTCCTCCTCCCCCGGCAGGTGGTGCAGCGGCTGAGCGAGCGCACCGGGTGCCGCCGGGTGGTCGACGTGGGCGCCGGGCAGGTGAGCCCCGGGGCCGCTTTGGGGGTCCCCCCCCCGCCCTTCCTCGGCCTGGCCCCGTCCGGGAGCCCCTTGCCGTCGGCTCTCCTCTCCTCCGCTCCCTCCGCAGGGCCACCTCTCCCGCTTCCTGGCCTTCGGGCTGCAGCTGTCGGTGACGGCCGTGGAGGGAGACCCCCAGCTGGTCGCTCAGGCCGCCAAGTTTGACCGGGCGCTGGCGCTGGAGCTGAGCAAGGAGCAGGCCAGGCGGCAGGTGAGGGTGGGATTGGGGGAAGGGGAGACCCTTGGCTGTGAAGAAGGGCAGGTCAGGTAAGCGTCTCCCATACCGACCGGAGAGGCTGGCTCCGGCCGTGGCTTTCCTGACGGCGGCCCCCGGCTTGGTCTTCCAGGCTCCAGACGGCGCCTCCGTCCAGGGGCCGAAGCACGTGGTGGGCTGGGTCAGTCCCCACTCTTCTTGGCCCGAGTTTGTGGAGCTGCTGCACTCGGACGAGGCTGAAGGGAAGGCCGCTGCGGGAGACGGGAGTCCACGGGGAGCAGCCTTGGGTCATCACCCCACCGTGCCTTGTGAGCTGAGGGAAACTGAGGCTCGGAAGGGAGGTGCAGACTGTGGGGAGGATGGCCCAGATTCCCGGGAGCAGAAGTCGCCACCCCGCCTCCAAGCACAGCACCCGCAAGGGACGCTTTTGCTCACTGGCCTGCATGCCTGCGGGGACCTCAGCGCGACCCTCCTCCGGCTCTTTGTGGCCTGTCCCCACATTGTCGGCATCACTTCGGTGGCCTGCTGCTACATGAAGCTGAGCACCGGGGAGGGCGCCCGGCCCGGCTACCCCCTGAGCAACTGGGTGGCCGGTCTGCCCGGCCACCAGCTCTCCTACAAGGCCCGGGAAGGGGCTTGCCACGCCATGGAGGACTACATTCTGCGGCTGGAGCAGGACAGTCCTTCGCTGAAGACGCACTACTTCCGGGCCAGGCTGGAGACCGTGATCCGGGCCATCGACCCCACCAAGAAACGCCTTGGGGTGCAGGCTATTCCCAAGACTGACGAGATGACTTTTGAGCAGTGAGTGAGCCCGTCCGCTTTCTGGTAGCTGCAGGGGCGTCTTCCCCAGCTGGTGGGATTGGTGCTGCTCTTCCCACCGATAATCAACCTGCCCCGTTTGGAACAGCAAGTTCAGCTTTTCCTTCCCGGGCAGGTATGCGCGCCGGGGACTGGAGCGTGTCGGGATGAGTCCCAGTGGACCCCTGGAGGCAGCCTCTCTAGCCGAGCAGCAGCGAGTGGTGGTCTTCTTCAGCCTCGCTCTCCTGCTGGCCCCCTTGGTGGAGACCCTTATTCTCCTCGATCGGATGATTTACCTGCAGGAGCAAGGTAAGCTGTGCCTGGGGTCTTGGCCGGAGGGGAGTCAGCATCCAGCCCAGCAGCTCAAGAAGAGTCAAAATAGCACTGTGTCTTCGAGATGACAGGAGTGGCTTCCTTTGAGGCGATTCTTTCTAAGGGGAGCCACCCCCCAAAGGGAGGCTCTCAGTAGGAGCGACAGAATTACTTTGTACGCTCAGGCAAGAAACGGAGATCTGCTTCAGGGGTTCAGCTGTTCAGCCTTTGGGGGGTCTCCCTTTCCTCTGTCTTACCGCCTCTATGCAGGCAGCACTTTGGAAGACACGGTGCAGACCCCAAGCCAGGGCTGGTGGTGGCTCCATCTTTTCTGATTCCAGCTCCTGCTTTTGAGGGCCTGGGGGAGCCTATGTCGGGGCTCCCTGCTCCTGACCCCACATTGACAGGGCCACCCCAAGCCCACTCCCTTTCTCTTGCCTCCCCACAGGTTTCCCGTGCGAACTTGTCCCTCTCTTTAACCCAGCGCTCTCTGCCAGGAACCTGGTGCTGGTGGCTGCCAAGGTGCCGCCCTCCGACCTGTGGGGCCTGGCCGCAGGGAACTGAGGAGGATCCTGCCCTAGATGGGTCTTCTCAGTGTCTTGATGCAGAAGAAGCGGAAGGAGTGGACTTGGCCTTATAGTCCCCCGCTGCACCCCAGCCAAGCAAGCCCATGGACCAACCCTTTGGAGGAGGACGAAGGAGCAGGCCGTAGATCAGTGTTTCTCAACCTTGACAATTTTAAGGCATGTGGACTTCAACTCCCAGAATTCCACAGCCAGCATTGCTGGCTGTGGAATTCTGGGAGTTGAAGTCCACATGCCTTAAAATTGTCAAGGTTGACAAACACTGCCGTAGATGAACCCCTTCGCAGAAGATGGGGGCCAAAATGTGTCACTCTTATCTGTTGTGCATTTGTAATGACTGTACGCTTATTTTTCTATTAAAAGGATGTTTATTCTTGGTTGCCTCTTAGCCTTTAATAAACGACAGCCCGTTAACGCTTGTGTGAATGCAGAACCTCTCTGGTTCCTGCTGCGTCTCTCTCCCCGGAGAAGGGAGGAGCAGAGAAGCCTCAATACCAATACGACTTCCTGTGCCGCCGTGTCTCTACGATTCCCATCCGCTCCATAATTTCCTCTTGAAAGGTCTTCAAAGACGGGGTGTACGTCTTCTCCAGGGCGTCCTTGCTGGAGGTGTCCTTTGGGCCATCTGATTTTGGCAAGGAGCAAGGGGGCCAGATAAGGGTGGGGGAGAAAAGCCTGTTAAGCCAGTTTCAAGGCTCTAGTCCTCATACTGTTCGAGAACAACCCGGTCTTAGCTGCCGGCAGGGTCCGGCAGAAGTTGTCCAAGATGACCACTTGCTCGTCCTCCCTCCCTCGCTCAGCTCAGCAGAGAAGCTTCTTACCGACCCACAGCTCAGGGATGATGCCGTCCTCCCTCTGCTCGACGGGTTTGGGGATGATCCGGCCCGTCCGGAGGGAGACCCGCACGCGCTCGCCCTGCTCTGTGTAGCGCCAAACCACTTCGGTGGGCAGCCTGAGGTCATGCAAAGTAGACACAGCGGAAAAGCACCCAAGATGGTTGCATGGAGCGGTTGTGTTAATGAGTGAGAGGCCCCCCAGTTGTAAAGGCAGAAAGCCAAAGTCATTGAAATGACCCTGGGACGGGCAGCACTACTTCCACGGAGAGCAGGGAAGGAGAGAACAAAAGTCACCCCACAATTGGATCCCCCGGGGAATTCAGGGGCAGCTCAGGTGATCCATGCCCCCCCCGCAAGGTGTGGAGTGGGAGGAGTCGCTTCAGCCCTACCTGTCTGCGGGGTCCACCAGGCCCACCTCCTTCAAGGCCAGCGGCTTCTCTCGGGAAAACAAGGCTCTGCCCTCCGTGGTGTCCGCATAGTAGTGGCCCTGCGGGGGGGGGGCAAGCAGAGGGGAGCCTGCAGCCCCTGTGCCAGGGAAGCCCACCGGGGGGCTCCTGCAGAGGCCGAGCCCCCCCCCCTTCCCCGCAGCACCCCTTACCATGTTGAGGCGGTCCAGCAGCACCGACTGCTGCTCCTTGTCCACCTTGATGACCTGCCCTTGCTTGCCGGCCTCGCGCCCGCTCAGGATCTCCACCTGCGGGGGGGGAGAGAAGGGGGAGAAGGCGGCGGCGGGTCGGTCGGGGTAGCCGGGCGGCGCTTGCCTTCCGGACCCCCGTCGGGCCAACTCACCGTGTCTCCGCGGAAGACCTGCCAGTCCTCCTCCGGGATGGGCGGTGGCGCCGGCGCGGGCTTCTTCCTCCGGGGCGCCCGGCCCGCCCGGCTCATCTCGGGGGCCCAGGGCGGCGTCAGCTTCTCCGCCATGGCCAGCAGCCGCGTCAGCCTCATGGTGCCTGCAAAGGGGCGCGGGTTGGCCGAGGCAGCGGCGCCCCAAGAGGGCCGGACCCCCGCCCGCCCTCCCGCAGCAGAGGGCAGCCCCGCGTGCTGCAACCGGCGCCCGCCACCCACGGAGGCCGTTGCGCAGGGCGCCCGCCGCTCCCGCCTCCGCACGAGGAGCCCGCCCGGCGCCCACCTGGTCCGCCGCGCTTCGCAGCTCCTTCCCGGCGGGGCGGGAGGGTCGGGCGGCCGCGGTGCACTCTGGGATTTGCAGTCTTACCAGGCGCTCCCGAGCTAGGAAAGCGCAGAGCGGGGCTAGTCGAGCCAGGCGCTTCGTCCCCTTCCCACCGCCCGCCCGGTTCGCGGAGGTTTTTCCCCTCTTGGACCGGCACGGTGGGCAGGCGGCATCCGACTTCAAATTCCCCAGCCGGCTTTAAAGTTGGGGTCTCAACCTTGCTTTTCTTCCTGCTGGCTGAGGATGGGGTGCGCGCGATGTCAGAATCCTCCCACTTTATTCTGAGATGTTTCCGTTTCTGGGTCCGTTCTGCTTCGTTGCAGAACACCGGAGAAAATGCATTTCACGGGACGACAGAAGAGTCTTCTTCGGCTACACGCAGTGTTTCTCAACCTGGGTAACTTTAACCTGGGTGGACTTCAACTCCCAGAATTCCCCAGCCAGAATTCTGGGAGTTGAAGTCCACCCAGGTTAAAGTTACCCAGGTTGAGAAACACTGAGCTACAGGCTGCCTGGCCGATTGTCTCTCCCCCCCCCCCCCGCTGTTTCTGCAATGTTATTCGCCTGTCCCTTAATAAAGGAATGCAACCCACCCACCAACACCACCACCCCCACCATAGGGGAAGTAGCAGAGCAGCAATTTTGGAGAGCAGCACTCAAGAAAACAAAACAACAAAAGATTTGCGTGGTTAGAGACTGCAGATCTCTATTTATGCTTTCCTCCTCGCATCTCAGGCACCCCCATTAGACAAAGGGGGGGCAGGAAGGAGATCTGGGTCGCAGGGGCTGTCCTGGGCGCTTGGCTCCTCCTGTTCCTCCTCCGGGTCCAGTTCTTGAGGTGGGACCTGAACGCCTAGCATGGTCTCCACCTGCCACAGCCTGGCCTTCACCGCCTGCAGGTGCTCCTTGAGCGTCTTCATGGATTTCAGGCAATCGTGGCAGCTGCGAAGATCCTGCCTGCCTGGAAGGAGAGAGAGAGAGTCCCGTGAGAACGAAACCTTTGGGCCTTTTCCCTCAGACACCCTCTCCGCCAAGGGAGGAACAGGGGAAGGCGCCCTTCCAACGTACGCTCTTGGAAGTGAGAAGACTGGAACTCGTGTGCCGCTTGCAGCTCCTGAATCAGGGCCATGATCTCCTCTGGAGGCACGGGAGACGGAAGGCCAGCCTCTGGGGAAATGTCCTTGGAGGCCGAGGAGTCAGGAACCAAGGGGTCAGCCTGAGCCTTGCTGGGGGCCTCTGGATCACCTGCTGAGGGGAGGGGCGGTAGAGTTAGCAATGGCAGCTGCTTGGGCACCTGGCTGGAGGTCACCTCTGTTGAGGCTTACCACTTGCAGCAGCTGGACCTGGTTGGGGCTGCAGCTGAAGAAGACGACCTGGAAAGATGGAAAGGAAGGGCATAATACATGTCAGTGGGGGCTCTCTCCCCTCCTCAACCCCCTCCCCCCTGATTCAAAACACGTGCATCTCTCCAGAGCCCCCAAGACCCCCTGGAGCTTCAAAGAAGTAAACCTCCGAACCTTCACTCACCTTCCCCTACAACGGGGTCTCTTTCTGCTTCGCTCTGGGTTTCTGCTTTATCATCCTCGGAAAACCTGCAAATACCGAGCAAAGCGTGTTTGTGATGCCACACAAAAAGACACCCAGGGATCCACGGCAGCCAATGACTCAAGAATTTCCAGGGAAGACATTTTCTCTTTCCAGCACCAAAATCTCCCTCATTTGCCCTGCCTTACTTGACAAGGTTTTTTTTTTAGTTCCAGAGAGGCAGATACTTACGGTCTGTTCTTCTCATAGATGGATCTAGGAGGGGGAAAAAACCCAAAAATTGGCTGCCAGGAAATTGAGCCCACTGGTGCCCAGACCACAAACATGGCCAATGTGGGCCAGCTCTCCCTCCAGTTAAGGGTGCCCTCAGGAGATGGTCAGAAGAGGCCCCGGACAACTGGAGGTGACCTGTGGGCCTTACCTGCCCAATTTGGCCTCACCTGCGGAGATGCCGATTAAGAGAGAACCAGTTCTGCATCCTGATGCCAGCTGAACTGTCACCCTTGGAATCCTCACTGGTCTCGAGGCAACCGGGACCGCCGGGTTCCATCGTGGTTGTGAGGTCGTGCCCTACTTTAGAGTCCCTCTTGAAATGTGTGGATGCAACAGAAGCAGCCCCTGGGCACGCGCAGCCCCTTGCCCACCTGCCTGCTTCCAGGGGAAATATTAAATCTGAACCATTCAGCGAATTCCCGGGGCCCGTCCAGCAGCAGAGGTGTGATTATGATGTTTATACAAACCAGGTGGGAAGTGATAAACACTCAGATAAGGAGAGAAGTGTGTGTGTGTGGGGGGGGAGAGATTTCTATCAGCCTTCCCAATTGGCTTGACTACCTGGGGCTCTCCCTCGAGACCCCTCCGGAAACCGAGCAGGGACGAGAGCTCACGGGGAGCGGTGCTCTAATTCAGGGGTAGTCAACCTTGGCTCTTTTGTGACTCGTGGACTTCAATTCCCAGAATTCCTGAGCCAGCTTAGGTTCCAGGTTTGATGCAGTGGGTGAGCCGTTCTGATTTTCTCTTTGGCTGGGATCTACAGCGATCAAATTCTCCTGGAGGCTGTAGACGCAGCGGGTAGTCAACCTTGGCTCTTTTATGACTCGTGGACTTCAACTCCCAGAATTCCTGAGCGGAATTCTGGGAGTTGAAGTCCACGAGTCATAAAAGAGCCAAAGGTTGACTACCCCTGCGAGTCTAATCCCTGTCCGGCCCAAAGGCAGTGTGTGGAGGAGAACCCGGCAGGGAAGAGGCCCCACTGCGGCTGGCGGAGGGTCCCGAGCGGACCCCCGGCCCCTTCCCCACCGCGGCTCCTCCTCCTTTGCAAGCAAGGCAGAGATCTTCCCAGCTGCCGGCCCTGCCTGCTGTTCGGCCGCTTCTCCGCACTGCGGTGCTGCTGCCTCGGAAGAGGCGGAGGGCTCCTCCTGCCGCCTTCCAGGGATGCCCGAGCCCGGGGGGAGCCGCTTGCGCCCCGACCGGCATCCTCGCCCGCCTGCGGGGCGCTGCTGAGGATCGGGCCGCCTGCTGAGGACGGGGGGGGGCTCTTCCCTCCCCAGCCGGAGCGGGAGCAGAGGGGGGGGGTTTCGCGAGCGGGAGCCCGAGCATTAACCGGCGGAATTGACTCCGGCGGGGATAGAGAGGAAGGGACAGAGCGGCCACCTTTCGGAAGTGACGGACGCTCCGGCCGACCAGCTCGGAAGCGCACCACTTCCTCCCCCGGAAGTGGCGCGCGGTGAGTCAGGGCGTGTGGGCGGGCGGCCCGTCGACGAGGCGTTTCCGTTTCCGGTGGCTGGCGCTGGAGGTGGGCGAGGAGCGGCGGCGGAGCGACGGCGGCAGGAGGAGCAGCAGCAGCAGCAGAAGCGGCCGCGGAGCCCGGCAGGCCGCACCGACCCGCCGACGGAGCCCCAGCCGGCCGGCCGGCGGTCAGGTGAGCGCGGGCCCGGCGCGGCCGAGGGTCGGGCCT